GATCAACTAGGTGACTTTCTTCAAACTGAACACGTGCACAGAACTTTTTTTTTCAGCTGGCCACATTACCAATGCAAACAGACAGAAAAGAAAACAACCGGCAGCGCTCGTGTTTTCTTTACACTGCTACAAGCGACAAGGAGCTACTGAGCAGGTTCTATATCCACTGTATATGCGTGTGCATGCACAGCTGGTACTGCAGCACGCTGCCGATGGGGGGCGTACTTCTGCTGTCGCTGCAGTTTCTTGCGGTAGTCTTTCGCCTTCTTCCTCTTCTTGCTGGCGTCGTACTCCCCCTTCAGCTCGAAGCGGGCGGCCTCCACGTGCAGCCTGTACCCCCGGATCTCGGAGTCGTCTATCAGCCTCTCTGCCAGGGCCACAGATTCCTTCTGCACAGAAGCACACGGACACCAAGCACTAGTCCTGCTGCGCTCACTGTCTCCACACAGGGCTTGCACGCTGTGAGCTAGCTGACAGGGCCTGAGCTTCTATCTGCCTCTCATGACTCAACTAGCGACGCCAACTAGCCTGGTTCAGATCCATTCCCAGCATGCAGGCTCCCTGACTGAAGAGATTTAAAATAGAAGACAGTGCTAATGGAACGGATGCTTGATATTCAATCATTTCAAAGGGCTTGGAGAAGAACATGAGGATGTTCCCAAGGACAGGTCAAGAGCAAAAAGGAGTGTGGGAAAGACCCTTGAAGAGCCTAGTTTTAAGGCAGGTGATACTGGAAGACTTATATGATCTTACTTCCCCATTTGCACAGTACAAGACATGACAGCTGAGCTGCCCAGACAGGTACTACATACCAGAAAACATGCAATTCTCAAAGATGGCGTTCACCTTTTTTTTAATCAACAAAATGTGATTGTAGTGTCCTCTGTCGGCTAAACACTGCATTACCACAATTATTTCAACTGCATCGAACAACCATTTGATCTAAGGTCTTCAATAAAAAAACATATTTCAGGTTGACTTAACATTTAAATGGGGACAATCACAAAATGACAGGAGCATACTGTTTATACATTTC